CGCACAGGACAATTTGATTGAGAAGTGTTTTTGGCTCCAAACCAAGAAGAGTGGACAAATCAACTCAAAGAGGGAATTTTCCCGAGTTAAATCCTGCAATAGTGAAATGGATTCATGGTCAGTCTACAAGCATTAAACAAAGTTTACAATGTTTTTTGTCCTTCAGAATTCCAGTGACAATGGCAGTTGAGCACAACTTAAATTGCACAAGTACAGGTATGGAAAACAAATATAGTATGGCACAAGTATGTTGTGAAAACGGAGATAAATGTGGATAAGCATGTGATTTAATGTTTCATATATAAAACACTAAGGCAAGAACAAGGGTCGCAAATATTTAGTCCTTCAGAAAGCCAGTGACCTTGAGCCCAACCTATGCTGCATTAGTACAGGTATGTAACAAGATTAGAGTATAAAATCGAGACATTATGGACATAATGATAATAAATAAGTACTTGCATGTGAATTAATGTCTTATCTGTGTAATAATATGAATCAGCAAGAACATAATGGTCAAATAAACATGATACCACAGATATTACAATATATCTTCAAGATATATTATAGAAAGATATATGGTTACTCGAAGATAATTTTAAATTAGGAAAGAGATAAGCTTAATCTTATTGCAAATCAAATTAAATTGTGAAACCATAATTCATGACCAATGATTTTAACCATCATTCATGCATTATAATTTTTAGCTTTCTTCTACATCGTTGATACATGGTAATAGGTTTTTGGATAAGTTAAAATAAGTACCTACACATCTCCATCAAGTATAGAGTATCAAGTAACGATATTTGGATGCATATCAGATCAATGGCGTAGCCAGGATTCAAGCGATTATAAAACAAATATACTATAAGAAACACTTCCATAGAGGTTGTATTGACTACAAAGATAAATTAAGTAAAAGCTCAATCCTAAAATTGAAGGCAAATTAGTCCCCTCACAGATACCACTTTCTCCACTTGAAACACTTTTTTCCCCTAAAAAATGAGTCAAGTTTCTTATGTTTCAGACATATTAACGGCCAACATGTTTAAAAAAATACAATATATTGATATAATCAAATAAACAATTATATAATAAATTAAATAAACTATTTACTTCTAGGATTTACAAAAACCAATAAAGACAACAATCATAAGAATGAGAAGGGGAATTTTTTTTTGAAAACCCTCCAAAAAACCATTGATGACTTATAGTTAAGACACTGATGCTATTTTTTGCATGCAGCATTGTTGTCTAGGCACATGCAAAAACGGTTAACATATACACCCCTCGTACGATGAATATGTGAAGGTCCCTCATTACTAAATCTCCGTTGAGGCCTCACATATCAAATTGTGTAACAACTAAAAATTGCTTGAACCAAGTATTTAGCTTATAGTCGAGTAAGACACAGAGAGTAATTTTCTGTGTTCAACATCATTGTCCAGCCACATGCAAAGTGGTAATTGCAGAGCATGTATCCATTTGCACTAAAAAAAAACAAAACTGTTATATTATCACCTACGGTAGTAGGGATAATTTTTGCCCAAAATTAGCGGGCAGTTCAGTCTTTTTTCCAGTTAAATTGAGAGCAAGGTATTTTGCTATCACATGACTCCCACATGACATCCCGACCCCAAGGGAGAAATAATGCTGTCTAGAACTCAGGGGGTATAAGGAGTTACGCCCTCATAGTACAATGGGTGTGTCTACAACTAACCCCATGCAAAGATAAAGGAATTGATATACAACGTCAACTAATAAAGGATTTTCAGAATGAATCCTCACCGTCAGTCATAAAGGAAGATAATAAAAGCTCATTCCAAGTATCAGGAACTCCAGGGAGGCACCAATGGCAGCAATCAAAACTGGCCACAAGATAGCTCCAATTTCCTACATGGGCATCACTCCTGACTGCCCCCATGGAAGTCACATTCAGGACAATAGCAGGAACTCTCATCTTTGTAACCACCTCCGATATGATGTCGCAAACTCGCTTCTATAATTCCCTCGGGCGTCTGGCATACGTTGTTCCGTCATTTCACACACTTTCGGGTTCAATTCGCTGAAAGGCCACAAAAAGGAAGATTTCAACTAGATAATTCCATGTATAAATATTATAGACAAGGAGAGAAGGTAAAGTTATTATTCATCTAATCCTAATCTCTGTTAAATAAAGATAATGCGGATAACATAAGCGGATATGGGTATTGGCCCAATTAGCCCAAATACCTAAATAGTTAACCATATAATATCATCTAACACTCCCCTTCAAGTTGGGGCATATATATTATATATCACCAGCTTGTTACATATGAGAACAAAACAACTACTTAAAAAGCACTTTCATCAAGTTAACTTTGTCCGTAGTAGTTAATAAACATCATATATTTGTTTGTTTTAGTTGAAGTAGCCATCGAGCAGAAAATAGATCTCATGAAGTAGCAACCCAAAAAGTACAATCATAACAAGATATAACTAGAGCATAAGACAAGAGTCAAAATAGTGTCAGACAAAGATCATAACCAAATCCTCATGTTTGTGATAAATAGATAATCAGCCAACCAGAAATAGAAGACCCTTAATATAGGAACATTTGAGGCGAGAAAAAACCCTAGACAGGTAAGCCAATAGAAACACTAGGCGGTTAGCCAATAAAAAACCTAGGCCAGCAAGCCATTAGAAACCCTAGGTCGGCATCTAGTAAAAACCTAGGCGAGTAAATTAGTAGAAATCCTAGGCCGATAGCCAGTAGGTCGGTGAGGAAATATTCAAGATTTGTGCTTGAGTGATTGAAGTGGCGCTCAATATGTAGAAGGCACGGACTAAGCAGATCTTGGATTGATCTATAGAAGGCACAGGCTTAAAAGTTCTTGAATGGCTCTGTTGGAGACGGATTTGATGCGATGTTGCACATATTTAATGTAGTGCAATATAACCCCAATGATGTAGATCTGATTCGGATCGGATCTGCAATTGTCGAAGGCAATTAGCGTAAGATGCAACAGTTGTTACTGTTCATAATGAACAGAAACACGATTACTGCTTATCACCGATAGCACCGTGAACAATAGCAGTATTTTTAAGGGTTTCTGAAGGGTAGGGTTTTTTACTGAGGTTGTTAAAGCAGAGATTTTCGAAGCTGCCGAGGGGAAGCATGGAGGCCGTGCTTGCCGTAAAACCCCCTCGGCAACCCCAAGATCTTGAAAGAGAAGTTCTTTAGGATCGAGATGTCGGCTCTGATACCATGTAGAGAAATAGAAAAGCCACAAATATTATTCATCTAACCCTAATCTCTGTTAAGTAGAGATTATGAGAGTTACATAAGCGGATATGGAAATTAGCCCAATGACCCCAATACCTAAATAGTTAACCATATAATATCATCTAACAAATGTAATCAAGAATAACATATAAGAAAAGTGAATGAAAACATTTATGAAAGAAATACATGTAGAGTAAATTCTAACAGGTGATGAAATCTGCTAATAGTCAAACCTTCTTGGATCATAAATTTATTTCAAAATATATGAAGATCCATTGAAGACAGGAACACCTACCTCACCAGGTCCGTTTAGGTCATAACTGTGAAGAATGAATCAAAATCAAGAGTCAACCAAAAAACACCTAAAAATCATGCTATCAGGTGCAGTGATTTTGTGACAGTGGCTGATGTAAGAAGGGGTTTAAGAAATTCAAGACTGGGGGATACTGACATTGAAAATCCGGTTACGAAAAGTTTGGTGACATTGAATTCAAAACTATGACAGCCAAACAAATAAGAAAAATGTGTTTCAATGGCAGGAGTTTATCATCATTCTGGCTAGAAAGAGCACCTAAAATTAATTATCATACAAAGAGAAAAAAATGAAGAAAAAGACTAGTCAAAAGGCTAGATCCTGCAATGAGCAAGGGAATTCTGCCAATGGTGCAAATACACTTCCAGTCATCAACTGTTCTTGTCTATCTTGATATCTGGTTCAATATATGGATCTTCTCCTGTCCCAACAGATGTTAAAAGTACCAAAATATGCAAAGCTCTATAGAAATTTAAGCAGGGAAAAGAATGTTGTGTTAGACAATCTGAATCGTTCACTAGCATAAAGATGGCTGCATGGTGTGATGAGGATCTAAGGTGATTAACTTGAATCATTGCCTGTGAAGACAAGATCATCAACATAAATGCAAACCAACAATAAATCTACTCTTTTGCTTTTTCACAGGGTGCATATGCATTTCACAAGGCTATACAAAGGAACTGGAAGAAGTTCAACATGCTAGAGGCCATCCAGTTAATATCCCCATGGAATGTTGTATGACGCTATACATTTATGATCCAAGTCAAGAAAGAGTAGATACAACTTTTTTTAAGTCTTGTGGAAAGTCTAAGGTATTTGACTTGCACAAGACCGGATATCATATTTTCAGTTAGCCTAATCAGTTGTTTTATGAAAAATCCATCCAACTCTCACATAAGAAAGCAAAGAGAACTCTTCCGTACTTATCATCACCACAATTCAAGCTTATGGATAATTGCAATAGTGATTTTTCTGGAGAAGTAGATGATAAAAAACGCACTTCTGGATCTGTATTTTTCTTGGGAAACAACATTAATTCCTAAAGCTCTAAGAAACAAACCATTTCACGCTAAAATCAGTTACAAATACGGATATACATGCGGATGTATATGCAAATATACATGCGGATACAAAATGAATATGAGAAAACAAAATAAATATGAAAAAAAATATAGTTCATGTGGTACAAGAGAGTTCATTAATATGTTTGTTATATTTAAAAAGGTAGGATTGGAATTCTTGATCATTAGAATTAGTATCAAATTTATTAGTTTAAAGATTGAAACAATTGTAGCTCCATGATCATCATATATTTGGATATTTCAGATACGGATCCGGATATTTCCAAAATCATATCCATAACCATATCCTATCGGTTACAGATTTGAGTAACCATATTAGTATCCTAACGAGGATACGGTTATAGATAATTCCTCGGATACAGATATGGTTTACCACCCCTAATGTCAAGTCTCTTGACCAAGTTGCAGAAATTTTGACGAAGCCTTTGAAGCATAAAGTCTACCAGAAGATGTGCGCTGCTCAAGGTTGTGAGAATGTCAAGTTTATAGGGAAGTGTTGAAACTTAAACTTGACCTAGCTGGATATTAATATTAAGACTAAATTAATGTACGTGCATGAACAGTGGACTCTGAGGGGGTTTTGACCAGATTATCCTGCACCAAATTGAATAAATTAGGACTCATGGGAAACTCTATCGGTCTAGTTCCCAAAGAATCAAACGGTTAAGAATTTGGTACTCTCCAGAGAATGTTATTGTCACTTTATGGAGACTATTCAGTCTACCAAAACCTGTTGTACTGTATTCATGAACTTAGTTGTCATCAGTAGAAGCTATGTAACTAAGTTAAAGAGCCATTTAATTTTAATTTCTTGAGTGTAGCATCATCTTTTGAGTTGTATAAGTACTTATGTTATAGAAAGCTTTGTCAAGTCATTTTAATAAAAGAAAAATCAATTTAGTGACTTCCTCTCCCTTTCTCTTGTGCCTCTTGTTTGTGAGAATTCAGTGTGAGTGCCCAACCCAAGAAGTATGTGAGAGTTTGTTAGCAAGTGATCTTTCAATGACCTCCTTAGCTATATAGAATGACAAGCACAAGAAGTTGATGTGACATACTTGGTTTCACCTGTTGAAAGTGTGACACAGGGTTGTTTGTTTGATATACAGGAACTAGCACTAGTGCCCAAGAAAGTGTTGAAAGTGCTGCTTCGGATCCTTGGTGTTTATTCTAACCCATGCATCGAGGAAGGCAGATTCACATCCATCTGATGGATCTTCGGGTTGGCAATGAGCTGCAAGTGAGAGTAACAACCTCACAGTCATCAATCAGGCAACTAGAGAAAACATCTCATCATAATTCACATAGCATTCGCTTGTAGTCCTTTAACAACAAGCCTCACCTGATACCTCTCCACTTTCACCTTTGTTTAGAATATCCATCAACTGCAACCGCCTTCTTCCCTTGGAAGTGTTGCCAACTCCTATTGTTACTCCAAGTGATATTTATCCAGATGGCATATATTCTTTGTTCGTGGCTTATACCCATTTCTTCTCGTTCACAGCTTCATCAAAGCTTAATGACTCAATGACCACAAAAAAACAAAATTGGGAAGTATCATCTAACCTCTTAGTTTTATCACAAAGATCAACAAGACTTTTGGTATCTTATCGAGCATCCACTTTAACTCGAAGAAAGTCATGATGTATGAGAAGATGGAGGCAGATTAGTACGAGGAGTTACAAGCACATGATCAACTAGAGCCCCTTCTTTAATATAAGGGAGGAAATCATAAGATTCCTTCTCATGAAAACTCCAAGCTCTGGATGCTTCTTCATCAAACTCAACATCTCCACTAATTACAAGATTCCAAATCTTGCTACTTATTACATTGAAAGCATGTAGCCTTTGGAATTTTTATCGCGATCAATGAAAAAGAGCTTCTCACTTATATCAAGTTTGTAGCCATTTGAATTTTCATCATAACCGTTGAAAAGGAGATTCTCACATCTATCAAGTTTGGATCTAACTTGCTTAGGAATATGCACATAAACAAAGGATCCAGTATTGTAAAACAAGACTTAGGAAAACAGCTAGATGCCCGCCTAGGCGTAAGCCTAAATTTGACCTGAGTCGCAAAGCTAGGTGTTGGATCTGCCTAGTTGATGCCTAGGAGTCACCTAGGCTTGGCGGCCCGCTTAAGCGAGCTAGTTGGCTTTTTAAGAGAAAAAAATTAAAATCATCTCAAAACAGAGGCCAGCCCAACCGGGTCAAAATCTTCTCGAAATTCACTGTTTATGCCCAGACATTAATTTCATACTTAATATCTAGATAGCTCAAGTTTAAATTTCAACAATGATATGTTGTAAGAAGAATATAACTCAATGTCACACAAACACTTCTGCAAAAAATCATGACATGTTGGATACAACACTTTGGTTATGTTTGTACAATGCAATGTTTTGCCT